GTCATAAATCTTTAAATATTAATACTGACCATCCACATATATTTACGGGGTACGGTGGGGTGTTTGATAGTGTGTACTTTGTTAGAATGCTTCCAGCATGCTAACTGACCTGTCCGCCTCCTCCTGTGTGTGTTCGCGGTGAGAACGTCGCAGATGGGCTGCTTCAGCGACTGTGAACCAACAGTGCATCATTATTAGCTGTGGTCACCATGTTGTCCGGCAGGACTTCAAAAGTTATTTGTTGTCTCTCACAGAGCCTTTATCCCCTCAGGACAGCGATCCCCTCCTCCCCCACTCCTGATCGCTACACCCTGACAACCCCCACTACAATTGAATTGCAAGTCTGATTCAACTACAGTTTCTGTGAAGATGTCTGAAGGAAAAGGATTTTTGGAAAACACCAAATCAAAGATGCAAAGCCATCTATAGCACCGTGAGACTTGCACTGGTGAAGACGGCCGTGCAGATAGAGGGGCTGCAGGCCGTGTTTTATGTTACTGGTTCTTCTTTTCCAGCCTCTGTGGGGCCTTGAACTTACCTGGCTGCTTCTCAGGCCAGTGTGTCTGGGCTCTGAACTGTCACCTCTCCTGATGGGAAGTGGGGGTCTAGGATCCTCTAGCTCAGGTACTAAGTCCAGCACAGCGGAAACCGCAGCGCTCAACCCTAGAGCAGGTTGAAGTTGTTCCTCCACAGAATGTAACCCCAACTCATGGAATGAGTGCATTCACATCATTAAATTTTTGGATGAACTGGACGGGAGCAAAGCATAAATGTGGAAAACAAACATTTCTATATTGTCTTAACATTTTTCTCAACCAATAGTGATAAGTACCAGGAGATTCGATAAAGATGTAAAATTAATTTCACAAGTTGTTGTTGCTAGGATAGGCTGTTGGTGGCCATGTGGACTTCAGTGTTTTAACAAGAAGTTTTTAATGGCTCTCTCTGCACAGCCCCTTTGGCATGAAGAGAGCACAGAAGTGACTGTAATCATGGTAGCACAGTTAGGCATTTTGACCTTGCAGAAATGAGGGGCACCTGAGGCAGCTTTAGTCTGGTTGCTCCCGCTGTCTTCTATTTTATATTTTGTAAAGCTGACTGGAAGCAACACTAAAACTTTGTATCACGGCTTTTTAGAGCCATGGGATTCAACAGATGAAGAGGTGCACTTAATGATAGGTGCCTGAGAATTCTACAGCATCACCAAAACAAGTGGATACAAAATCGGACAGATGTGGAGGCTGCCTAGGAAGTGGAGCCGAAGATGAGATGCTTTCTAAAGAGAGCAACTATGCACCTTCCTAGCATCTACCTTCCGGCGGCTTCCTAATGCCACCTGCGTGTTCACTGTGACAAACTACTCAGCTCAGAAAACCCATGGGAGCCAGACACCAGCAGGTGTTTGCAGAGCGGTGCCTGAAAGATACTTTGGGAAAAGCATCAGCATCACTAAGGAAAGTGCTAGAAATGCACATTCTCAGGCCAATCTCAGGCCTCCTCCTTCACAAACTGGGAACATGGAACCCAGAAATCTGTATTTGAACAGCTCCCTTAGGCGATTCTGATGTATACTCACCTGAGAACACTGCAGGCCTTTGAAAGGAGATGTATCTCTTGGAGCTGACACTGTATCTCATTGTGGATCTGAGGAATTAGATCAAAGACTCAGTATAACTGTGCCAAAGGCAAAAAAGCTGTCTTTCAAGAACCAGACACACAATGCTAATGGCTCTCCTGCTGGGTAAAAGCAGGGATTCAAGGGGATTGCAGAAACCCCACACCTGAAAGAACCAGCCATCACACAGCCTCCAGGACAGTACTCATCTCCTCTGATGCCCACTCTCTGCCTTCAGCTTTCTCTGGATCATCTGCAGTGGGCAGAGTTTGTACCTCTTGGTGATGAGGTTGACCACAGGACTCAGTGATAGAAACCTCCCTCGCCTCTAGCCTTTTACTTGGCGGTGTGGTGGGCACAGGGTGCTAGGGTACAGCTTATGCGCGCTCTGCGTGCAGACATCTGAAGGGAAGCAGGGAAGCTGTGGTCCGCTGTAGTCTGGGTGTTTCCCAGGGTCTCTCTGTTGAAGGTGTTGTCCACCTATTGGCAGCACTGGGAGGTGATGGGAATTTAAGAATTGGGGACCACCGTAGTGTCTTTAGGTCCTTGTGGGGGTGCCCTTGGAATTTCTCATGAGTGGGCTGTTACCAAAGGACAAACCTGTCTCCTTCCTTTCTTTCTGCCTCTTAGTTTGATATATGACTTTCCAACACAGGCTCCTGAACCAGTGGAGCCGCTGAACATTGAACCTTGACCGTCTGACTGTGAGCTAGATAAACCTCTTTTCTTCCTAAGTTATTCTGACTTATGTATTTTACTACAGCAGGGAAAGGCTGACTAATACAACATCTACCCAGATTTATCACATGAGTAGCATGGAGACCTCCAGGGCAGGGGGCTTTCATTTTAGAGGAAGGAACAATTAGGCGAGGCTGACCTGTCACTATTCTGGAGACATCAGAGTGAAGACATGGTCCCTCCCCAGCGTCCCAGCCTGGCAACCAGCCGTGTTTGCCCCTCGATCCTGAGTTAATGCGGAGGAAAGCTGGGGTGTAGGTAAAACTAGAAAATGATTTCCTATGGGAAAACTGAGGTCTTGGAACACAAACAGCATGGCTTTCTTGTCTGCCAGGAAATGTGTAGGTCATTTGGGAGGAAGCATCCAGCCTTTCTCTTCTATAAGGAAGATGGGTTTGCTTTAGTGCTTTCGCTTTCAGAACTCCTGAAGATGTCAGCATCTCCTGGCTCTCAGCAACTGAGTCAATGGAGGACCCTGGCTGGTCTGGCCAAGGAGAACTTGAGTCTTATAAAGAAGGTCGCAATACAGCAGGTTGGCTTCATTTCTCTTGGTGGTTCCTTGACCATTTTCACCTGTCTTTTCAATTGTGTTTCAGCGGACCTGAGAGGACAACAAGAAAATTCATTTGCAGCTTTATTTCCTGTACTTCACACTGGTACACCCACGCCATAGCTCCATGTACATAACAGGTGCTCAGCTAATTATGCTGATTGAAAGACCTGCTGAAAGAAAACCTACAAAGAATGATCTGCTGCTTAATAGAGATGTGGCAGCCTGCAAACGATAAGCAAGCTGGATCCACTGATTTGCCAAATATGTGTGACCAACCAGAACCCAGCAATCAACGTCCAGTGCTGGGAAACCAAGAGACACAGACTGAATAACTGTTAAAGTTAGGAGGAGCAGTTAGGGACCTGTACTCCTTGAGGCTGGACCTCAGTTTCTCACTTAGAATTCTGCCTGAAGATGTTGCCAAGACCCAAGCCTTGGCATTCACGGTGGTAGGTGGCAAAGCTTTAAGCTCACAGACATTTGACCATGACCTTCCTTGGCCTGGCCCCTGCTTCCCACTCACTGCCACAAGGCAGGAAAAGGCACCAGTGTCACAGCACTGGAGCCACCTCTGCAGGAAACAATGGGGCACAGCTGAAGAGCAGCGGCCTCCTGAGGGCTGAGTATCATCTGGTCCTCAGTCCCACTCTGTCCCATTTATGCTGGGTCTCTCAGGCTTTTATGTTTACAATCTTCATGATAAAGGAATGAATTCAATCAATCAACCTTCAGGTACCAGTAAGCATCAGGAGCTCTTTGGGATTCTTCTTCTTCTTCTTCTTCTTCTTCTTCTTCTTCTTCTTCTTCTTCTTCTTCTCCTTCTCCTTCTCCTTCTCCTTCTCCTTCTCCTTCTCCTTCTCCTTCTTCCTCTTCCTCCTCCTCCTCCTCTCCTTCTCCTTCTCCTTCTCCTTCTCCTTCTCCTTCTCCTTCTCCTTCTCCTTCTCCTTCTCCTTCTCCTTCTCCTTCTCCTTCTCCTTCTTCTTCATACTGCGGATCAAACTCATGAAGGTGTTTTTCTTTATCACATAAACCCATGAACTTCAAATTGTGTGCCTTCCAGGGGACCGCAGGGGCCCAGCTGGGTTGGGTGTGGCTGGCCAAGGCCTGTTTGGAATTCCACCCCAAGCCTGGCTGCTGTGCAAACTCCTCCAATTTTTTTTTTTTTTTTTTTAAGAACTGCAGGAATTGTGGACAAGTTCCATACTTCTGATGTGAAGACTGGAACTTTTGTTTGGTTTTATTTGGTGGTGGTGGGGTAACACCTGTGAGATATTTTACAGTCCATTAAGACTCCATCACCTGGATTAGGGAATTCAGAAATCAGTCACTAAAGTTAGGGAGCGCTTTAGTCTAGTGAGCTTTAAGAGTAAAGATGGAAGGTTTTCCGGCAATTTAAGACAGATTTGCAATCCTATCAAGTGGGTGCAATCATGTGTGCAGCCCAGATGCTTCTAGAGAGTTAATAATGACTCCGGGCACCGAGGGGAACCGGAGGGGAAGAACATGTGCTCAGTGTCGCTGGTTATCCCGGCAGCTCTTTCACAGAACAAATTCTTGGCGGTGTCTCTGGTGAAGAAGCCCTTCTGCCCACAGCTCAGCAGAGGTCGCCTTGGTTTCTGGCAGTTCCGAGACCCACCTTCCGGGTTTACTTTTTGGATTATGTTATAAATGCTTCAGCAAAGGTTTATTTTCTTACATGGTGTTTTATGTTTTGCGTGATTTTCGATGACACCCGGGGCCAGCCTTACTCCCTTAGCAACTGCTCTCTTGAGAATGCTCACGTGGGTGAGTTCTGTCTCTGCGCCTTTCGGTCACTCATCGGGTCACAGGCGAAGCCTGCAGCTCTTCTGGGGGCAGCGCTTTCCTGGTCATGAAAATGGGTTGGTAGGGAGACAAAGGGCAGAGTGAGCTGACCTGAAAAGACTGTGTTTCTCAACATGGTGTAGACCAGCAAGTGAGGGCAGGGCAGGGAAGGCGAGAAGGCATGGAAAGGCACCAGCGAAGCAAGGGTGGCAGATAGCAGGGCCTTTTTTTTTTTTTTTTGGCAGTCTTTGTGATTGTATTGAAGCGCAAATAAACATGCACAGGAGCGGTCTATGAGTTTGCTCCGCGGTGCAGCCTGGCGTTAGGGTCCTGGTCTCGGTGGCTTTGGGCCGCTCTTCCCACGGTGGCATTGCGGTTCCTGGAGGAGACGTGGCCCGCAGTCTCCACGCTGTAAGACCCGCAGCCCAGCGGCAGCAGCTCCGGGCCCTCCACGCTGTGCACCGGGGACTCCGGAAGCCCCTGCGGCCGCGCTGTCTCTCTGCTGCTTCCTGCGCTGGGCATCAAGTTGCGGGCCTGGAACCTTCTCCGCGCTCTGCTGTCCACGCCCCTGTTTTTCCACCCATCGTGCTGAATTTTGACACAAAGGTCTGATCGGTGCCTGATGATCTCGGGGTTCACAAGAGAGCGAAGGGCCACGTGGTGCCCAGTCAGATCCGGCTGCCACCGCATCAGGACATTTTTGCCATAGAATGAGGTCATTCTTTGTCACAGCCATTGGAATCCTTGTACCCCAGCCTGTTCTACCTTATTCTTCTGTTTCAGTTTCCGGTTAACTCTTTAACGCTACTACTGCTGTGGTTCTGTGACTCAATATTCATATCGATGATCTGTTCAATACTTTTGCTCTCCAGGCTGATCTTTTAAAAATACATGGCAGATCACCTCGCGTTGTGCTGAAAATCCTCCAGTGATTTTATTAAAAGCAGTGTTTTTTTTAAAAGCAGTGTTTTTTTGTTTGTTTGTTTGGTTGGGTTTTTTTTTTTTTTTTTTTTTTTTTTTTTTTTTTTTTGTCTTGGTCTTTTTGAGACAAGGTCTCACTGTGCAGTTACAGGCTGGCCTGGAACTCACTTGAAGCTGGCTCACTGACCAGGTGCAGAAAGGAGGAGAAGACAGAATCCACCGCCCCAGAGAGTTTCAGGATACTGCAGATATCCTGACCACACATGTCTACTCCTCCTTAGCAACAGAGGAGATAAGGACTGTGTGGGTTTTTGGCTGAGCCCTGCTCCATACAAAGCCACAAACAAGTGTGCCCTGGATGTCAGCCAGGCGATACCTGTGCAAGGAGACACAGTTGAATGCAGCAACAGAACTGTTTATAGTAATCAGTAACTCATTTTCTGCTGGTGAATTTAATGATTTTTCTAGTAGACTTTCAGACTCTGTTCTGGCTTCACTCTGAATTCTGTCAGGACCTTCATCTCCTTCTATACCGTTCTCATTGTTTTGAGAGAAACAGGCGGTGAAGTGGGGACAAATGAAGCCAAAAGAAGAGATTAATTAATGTGAAAGAGAGGGAGGCTTATTGATCTCAGTGCCTTGTGTAGACGGCTGTAGACCTGAGGATGCATCTAGAACACTGCAAAAATACTGTTTTGCTTCACACAGTGTCTCTTGGTGTTAACACTGTAATCACAAGTGCTCACTGGAGGTCTGTTTTGGCTGTTCATCTTGTTCTTCTCCTGTAAAGTCAAAGAACGCATGAGCTGCCTGTTGGTTGAATTTCTTTGTTCTTCTAGGATTGATTGATGGACCATTTCTTTTAAGTGAGGGAAGTAGAACTAATATAAGCTGAGTCAATACACACACACATTTTCTTTCCCTTCCACTAAAACTTCTATGAAATATATCCTTAAGATGTTATGAACAATCACTTTGAAAAGTGTATTGGAGTCATATGAAGAAGAGTTTTGTAATGGATATGGTTTTTATAATTGCCGTACATATTTACATTATTTTCAATATAATGTGTCCCAGCACTTGGACAGATTATTGTTTGACACTACACAAATATGGCATTGATGAAGAAACTGAAATAAAATAAGCATCACCACTTCCTCTGTCAAGGTGTCAATCTTCATTTGAAGTCAATGTGATTAGATGTGATCTGAAATGTGAACACAGATTGTTTTCCTGCCTTGCTGGCTTAGATTTTAGACACTGACAGAGTTGCACAATTGCTTATTTGGGAACTGTTCTGCCGTTGAGACATCTAAGATCATGGCAGCATTTTCCTAATGGAATATGCACACTAAAACATTCAGCCTTGCTCTGGGCAAATTGCATTTTAATCTTACTGGCTTAAGAGGAGAAATACAAAGATGTGATATTTTTAATGTTTCTTTATTTTTAAATGAATCCCTTCAAAATGAATCTGTACTGAAGTGAGGAGAAGTAAGTGTATTGGAAGGTTGAAAAATTTAAGGTAACTTTTTTAAAAAATTGAATCACTCTAGTTTGTTTTAAATATGAGATCTTTTTTCTTTCCCGGACATGCTTTTCAAACAGGGGAAGCACAATTGGTTCTGGCTCGGATGTGCGTGGCGGGTGACTTAGAGGAGAGGTCAAGGTAGGATTTAGTGAGGCAGAGCTGCTGCCCTGAGTGCTGAGCATGGGGAGCACAGTCAGAAGACATCAGGAGCACTCACCAGAGATGGCCCCATGAATCCAAACACTTCCCTGAGAGACACACCCTGACTGCAGTGCCCACCACATGTTAGGGCTTCGTGTAGAAGAAATTCTTGTGATTCTCTAGATCGGTCAGCTTCTTAGGCTCAACTAGCAAATAATCCAAGTACTGTACTTTGTCTAAGATAATACCAGGGAAGAATGGATGTTTTATGTATGACAGATGCCTAAGGTTCTATTGTTTAAATGCATTTGGCATGGGCACTGCTTAAAAGAATTTCCTGGATAGATTGCCAATTAACAAGCCTAGAGAGTATCTTGTTCAAAGTCTTTTCTTTTTACCCCCTTAATATACAGTTTGGGATCGCAAGTTTCTCTCATGATTTTAATTCCTTAAAAATCACATGTATTTCTCAGAACAAGTGCAGTTTTTGGCATCTTTGACATCTTTCCTGCCTTGCCCACCAGGACCTTTTCTCAGATTTATCACACAGTCCCACTGCACCATATCCATGTGTGCATTCCCATTTTTTTCAGTAATGGAGACTGAACCCAGGACCTTTGCACTGACATACATCTCCACCTTTAAAATGTTTTTGTGAGCTAAAGTCTTGCTAAATCACTAATTTGTCCAGGCTGAGCTTGAATTTGCGATCTTCCTGCTTCAGTTTCCCAGACTGGGGTTTAAGGATGTGCACCACGCCAGGCTCCTATGTTTCCTTTGCCTGTTTCATTGAATGTCCTTCTAACTCATTTGTGTTTCTCATTGGACTGCATGAGGGGGAGACCTTGTGTGCTTTAATTTGCCATGTGTTTTTAGTGATTGTACAAGACACACTCAATAAATAATAAATCAATGATTCTGGTCCACAGTTCTGAGGGTTGGTGTGGCCTACACGGATAGATAGGACCCTGAGTTAATCAGCACCTGGGTGACAGAAATCTATATACAGAATACACTAGGGAGATAGCGTGCATCTATAAGAATTTGTTCAAATGTGAAGGAGAACGGGATGGGAGAGGAGGAAGGGAAGGAGGAAAAAGGGATTTAAAAAAAGAATTGAAAAAATGGAAACAGAGCTTCTATAAATGGGGAGGAAAAGAAGGGCTAAAGGGAAGGGGAATGGGAAAAAAGAAGAATGAAGATATATTGTCTACAGATAGAAACTCCCCACAGTGATTGTGATCAATATGTAGGCGAACATGTACTCACTGAAAACAAGAAGCAGTGTATGTCTCAGTTTCTGAGGAGCTTAGTTTAAAAAGTCATCAGATGACAACGGAAGATTCATGAAAATCTCCAGAGCATCTGGCCTTCCTTTTAATATATTATTTAAGTGCAAGGTGGCTGAGTCTCTTTACCTAAGTTATGTCTTTTTCATATGCAAGTGAACTCATTGGAGCTGGCTTTGAAAGAAAACAGTAGAAACCCATTTCTGATAGTAGGGATAATTAGGTATTTGATTTGATCCTTTCACTTAGAACAAATAAAAAATGCTAGATTAAAATTTAAAAACCCTAAAATGTATTGCAGAGATACCAAGATAAAAGTGGGGCACCTAACGGGAGACTCTCTCTTGGTAAACCTGAGACTCAAAGGGCCATTCTTCAGAGTAAGGGAAATCCAAAATTAAATCTGCTGTGCTCTCAGGAGATGGATCAAAGTTTGTTTCTGTGCTAAGTGAAGCCGGGAGGTAAGAGGCCCTGAGAAGGTTGACCAATATTTTGGCAGGAACTCGCGTGAATTGGTACTTTAAATTTTCATCACTTTACTGCTCCATCAAGTGGAGACTGGTGAACAAATCCCAGTGTTTAGATGAGCGCAGTATTACCATAAGCTCTGAAGAAATTTGTACAAAATAACTCTGAATTTGAATGACAGACTCTCAGAACAAAAGGAGGAAAGCAGCTACGCATGGAAGGAGATAAGGAGTCACCTTAATTTTGGGTCTCACTGTAATCTGTGAGCATAACTTTAGTGATGACCACCTAGCAAATCAGTAAATCTCTGGGCGTGTCTGTGAGTGACTGACACACGGGCCAGCAAACGGGCTGGAAGATCCACTCAAGATGGAGGTGGAACCAGCCAATGGCCTTGTGGTCTGGAAAGAATAAGAAGGGAAAGAAGGAGCAAATGTGCCCCTTGCTGGAAGAACTCCATTGTTTTCTATTGCCATAGGTCATCGATCTCCAGTTTTTTCAGCCTCCCCAAACAGACTCTTTAGGCTTGTGGCAGATTCATATGGGTAACTCAGATCTGCCAGGCCTTTAACCTTCCCTTACAACTGCATCCTCTGTTCTCCAGCACACAGCCTGCCATTGTGGATTATTTTGCCTCTGATCCCAAAGGCAGCCACTGTGACTCTTCTACCTCTGATCCTGTAAGACTATGTACTGAGTCCCTTTGCGTAATTATAACCTTAACTAATACAAACATCAATTTCTTAGTGTGTGATCATTTCTATTTCACATGACTTTCAAAAGTTCTCCTAACGCTGCTGGTAAAGCACCTAGCTTTGTGCTTGCCTGAAAACATATTGATTCACCTTCAGTCTGGAAAGATATATTTTCAAAGTGTAAGATCTTGTTTTTGCAGACATATTTTTCAACTTATTGAGGATCATATTTCTTTGAATTCTGTCTTCCATCGTTGTCACTGAGACAATAACATACTGGTTGCCACCAACTAAAAGTAATTTTCTACAGTAGCTTTTTAAGATTTTTCTCTGTCTTTAACTCTGCTTTGGGAGAAGGCTCACAGAGAAGCATGAGGCAAGAGCTTTAGGAATAGAATTAGCTGCTGTCAGACACTGGCTTAAACCAGGTGACAAGGAAATTTCTCGGTCACCCACACCTCCTGCATTCCACTCTTATTCGAGTTCTTCTCTGATTAAACCCTAGTGGCAATCAAATGACAGGGAATCTGTTGATGTAAATAAGGAAACTGATGCTCACTGAGGTGCACAGCCAGGTGAAGGACAGAGAGTGGGTCTGATGGTGGACAAAAGCTGTGCACCATGGAGGAAGAGGTACCACGAAGGCCAGGCCAGTGTTTTTACCTCAGGGATGGG